TTGTTGCTGGTTTTTAGTTTGTTTTTTGTCTTTTTGGGAGCTGACATAGTCTCTATGGAGATGGGTTTTTGGGAGGGTATAAATGCTACACAGTAGAAACGACATGCAGCCGGAGTATTCCTAAATCTTACAATATTTGATGCAAGTGATTATGAAATATTAATTAATAAACTGGAACGATATTTAATCAGAGGGGTTGCACTACATTGCGTGAAAAATTATTTGACCAGCAGGAAACAATTTGTGAGATGGGAGAGTAATACTCCTCATGTTTGGATGTTATCCAGAGTTCTGTCCCGGATCCAAAACTATTCACTATTTAAATAAATGACATTTGAAGGGTATGTGATCTATTAAAAATACACATTTTTGCTGATAACACAAATATTTTTGTTATTGGGGGAAATCTAATGGAAATGCTGAATATGATTGCTATAATAAAATATAGTAAAAATGTTAAAAATAAAAGTGGTTTGAGAGGAAAAAACTATCATTAAATCTATCCCACGTTTTCTTAAGCCTCAGTAGAGAAGCTGAGAATTCCCTGTCCCCAGTCACCTCCTCTAGCATGTATGGAGGAACAGCAAGGCATTCCCAGACCGAGTGAGAGATATGATCTCTCCAGGGTGTCCTGGGGACTCCTCTCAGTGGGACATGCCTGGAACACTCCACCCAGGAAGCATCCTTGTCAGATGCCTGAACCACCTGAACCGGCTCCTTTCAATGTGGAGGAGCAGTGGTTCTACTCTGAGCCCTTCCCAAATGGCCGACTTCTTCACCCTATCTCAAAGAGAGAGGCCATTCAATCTTCAGAGAAAGCTCATTTCTGCCGCTTATATCTGCAGTATTATTCCTTTGGTCACTACCGAGTAGAGATGGGAAGCTGGTTCAGGTTCAAAAGCTGGATTTGTCATACTGTGTTGGTGCTTACAAAACCACCATGAAAGCTCAAAGGTCTACATGCATATTTTAGAGCAATATATGATTTGATTCAGATGTCGTTTTCAGGGAAGACCTTGCAAATTTTAACCTAAGACAATGCTAATGCTGTATCTTTTACAAGAGTATGTCTTCATAGCACAGGAGTCCTGGTAATGACCGGGCATCCCTGCAAACCAGACCTTTGCAGTAACTGAAAACATTTGGCATGTCATGAAAAGACAATAAAGACCCTGAGAGACTCTTGTCTGACTCAGGATTGTTGCAGTGATTACTTTTGTTTTGTCTGTTTTCAGCCTGAATATGGAGAATTCAAAATAGCCGAGAATGTCTTGCATCTAATTTATAACCAAGGAATGATCTGGTAAGTCTGAAAAACATTTTACAATTCCAGAACCACAGGACCTATTTCAGAGCTAATGGCCTGACTGGTGCTGACAGGTCTCCATTACCCTGTTTAACGGACTGTAGCTCTCTGTAATCTTTCCACTACACCTCTTGATTGTATTTTCTCATCTAATTTCAGAAACGTCTCCTTGCAGCAATAAATGTAATGAAGTGAAATCATGAGCCACTGAATGTCATATCTTTTATATGAAGTGTGACCTTATTGCCTGTGTGTGTGTGTGTGTGTGTGTGTGTGTGTGTGTGTGTGTGTGTGTGTGTGTGTGTGTGTGTGTGTGTGTGTGTGACTGGTCTATCTCTTTCTTTCCTTCAGGATGGGGGCATTTTTTTCTCCCTGTCTTCCTGCCTTTAATGTGCTGAAGCTGATTGGTCTGATGTATCTGAGGAGCTGGGCTGTACTTACCTGTAATGTTCCCCATCAGCAGGTCTTTCGAGCATCCAGGTTAGATGTGCACACGCACACACATGCACACACACACACACACACACAGATGAAACATACCCAAATTTCCAGTATAGTTAAAAAAAATCATTTGATGACTTTTATTTGGCTTAAATATTAGTGTTTTTTCTACCACCGTGTTGGCATTTTGAACACAGAATTTCCCACATCTGGATGAAAGTAAAGGTAAATTCAGGTAATCTTATCTGCACAGGTTTAATGCTGTGATGCTACTGAATAATGGACTAATTACATATTAAATTTTCACTCACCAAAACTGAAGCACAAACCTTTTGGACTGTCTTTTCCTTACAGCACAATTTGTTAAAACAAAATCCATTAAAAATGCTGCAAAAAGGCATAAATGGTGCAAACGCTATGGAGAAATCAAGGTCAGTGAGAGGTGCAGCCCAGCACTTTTCATAACCACCATCAAAACACCAAGAATGTCTTTGTCCAGACATTCTCTTATATTACATCCTTGGCTCTTTGCAGTTTGACAAAGATTTAAAATTGCCACCAAAGGCTTGTACAGTATATTGTCAGCAAAGGGGGTGTTTTTCTTAAGCCTGTTCA